CTTGCTGATCTTAGAGAAATCTTCCTTGGAGCACCTGTTCGTCTTTGGTTTTCGGCGGCTATTACAGTTTTAAACCTTGCAATGAACAAAGCAATTGTAGTAAAAGGAATATTCAGGTTGTTAGAAATCGTTCTGTAACTGTTCCCATCTTTCCAAAGAGACAAAATGTGTTGTTTTTGTGAAATAGTCAATTCTGTACATTTAGGCATTATTAGAACCTTCTCGTAAGACTAGAAATTGCAGAATGCTCTGATAATGGCTAATAGCGTTAACTATAATTACTGATAACATTACTGGAACATTCTAGAATATACTTTTTTCTTAATTAACTGATTATTTTATACTAATAATTGATTTGTATGAATACTTTTATCACCAGTTAGAATTTTAAAAAATGCATTAATTTCTGTTAGAATAAGAATTAATTAAGGTTATTATTATTTTTTAATAGTATGTGTCTTTATACATAAAATGTGCCGAGATTTGTTTTATTTAAGGCTTTTACATTTATAAAAATACAATTTTCAAGTGTACGAATATTTATTTCCCCCACTGTATATATATATATATATATATATATATATATATATATATATATATATATATATATCATAAAGTTATATATATATATATATATATATATATATATATATATATATATATAAATATGTATTATTATAGAATATATATACTTTATAAACGCTAAAGTCCTGAACTTAAAAATTCATTTGATTAGATAATTTATTTCATGAATATAAATTAAAAATTCAGCTATTATCACTGAAGGTTTTTTAGAAAATATAAATCAGTGTGTCCAGATAATATAAAAAACAATAAAGAAAAAAAAGGAAAAAGAAAAATTTTAATATAACATTTTAAAAAAAAAGAAATAATAATAATTTTCTGGGAAAAAAAAAAGAAAGACTCAAGGAGAAATAAAGTTAAAAGAAAATTGTCAGAAAAGAAGGAAGAAATAAAGGATGATATATATTATCTATATATATATATATATATATATTTATATATATATATAAATATATATCTGTTTGTTCTTGTTTCATTTGAGGAATATATATATATATATATATATATATATATATATATATATATATATATATATATATTTAAAAAAAGAAACTGCAACGTTTTTGGTTATAATATATATATATATATATATATATATATATATTTATATATGTGTTTCCAGTCTCATGAAGAGAAAGGCAATTACAATCAATTTAAAAGGACAGTTTTCTGCATTTTCTTTTTAAAAATGGTATATATTCTATATATATATATATATTTGATGAATTTTTTTAACTGTTGAGCAAAATGAATTTCTAAAAATAAAATAAAATCAATAGGTTTGGTTTTTTCTATTATTAGTGGTGGTGATGATATATATATTGATAAATATATAAATTATGATATATATATATATATATTGATATATATATATATATTTATATTTTTGTATATATAAATGTTCATGATATATCCTCATTAAAGGATATATGAATCAGCATATATATATATATGTGTGTGTGTGTGTGTGCGTGAATATATATATATATATATATATATATATATAAAAGATAGCCTAATATAAAAATAAAGTCAGTGGGATAATATATCTATATATATATAAGTCAAGCAGTTTGGGCTATAAATATCATTATATATATATATATTTATAGAATCATATACAAGTATATTTTTGTATATATATATATTTTATTACCTTCAGCATCCCATCCATTTATATATATATATATTTATAAATATAAATCCATTATCATCAGGGGTTATCAGCAATTGACTGGTTATACTTCAATTTATATTTTATATTTATAAAATAAGCAGTCAATTACTGATAACCTCCTATGAGTGGACATATATTTTGCTAATTGATATATAAATATTTTTATATATAATATTTTCATCTAAGTAAATTATTTATCTTTTAATAAGGACAGCATTTTTATATATATATATATATAAAGGAGAAAAATAAGTTACTTAGATATATATATATTTATAGTATATTGATTCTTGCCAATATATATTTTATAAAAATATATTTTTTATATATATATTTACCAAAGTTGAAACAATGCAACTATATATATATTTATTTAAAGATATTCAATGAAGAACCATTATATTTTCATCAGTCATGATCATCATTTTATACAAATCTATTCATTTTCCCTTATACATGGAAAATCATTTTCATTTATGCCTTTTAGGTGTGTTTATTCTATATTGGGTATAAAGATATAAAATATATTTTATATATATATATATATATTTATAATTAACATATAAATATATTATATATATATATAGGATTTATAAACCCATATAAACTCCAATTATATATATATATATATATTTATAAAAGTTGACAAATAAATATATAATATATGTTATATATATTTATTTCTATTTATTTTATAAATATATTAGATATATATATATATATATTATTTTATAGGGAATGGAAACAAATGACAGTTGTTAATTTATTTGGATACTGTCACATTATACAAGTGTAACTACACACCCAACGTTGTTATCCTTTATGCTTTATAGGAGTTTAAGCTTGACATAGTTCAAAATTTGTTTAAAGATAAACAGTATCGGGTTGTGACATTTTCACTCAGCCTCTTTTTCCATGAATATTAAATAACCGTGATTGCAGGTAGCTGCTCAATAACCTTGAACTTTTCATATCCCTGGCAAATGTTCAGATGTACTCCATTCTTTAATTCCATCAGTGAATACCTTTACAACATGACAAAGGTCATTTTTACTTCCATGGGTTCCATCAAATCCCAGGTTCATTTCATAATGCTCTAGGGTTCCTTGAACAACTTTTCTGTCTATGAACTGCTTCATTTTCTTGCAAACTCTCACCAGGTGTTTTTCAGGAACAATAAATGTTATTTCTTACTGTTTATCTTAAACAGAGCATTTTTCCTTAAATATTTCATATCTATAAAATAACAACGTTAAACATAAATATCAATAAAAGTTCAATAAATATATATATATATATATATATTTATTTATAATATTTATAAAAATATATAAATATATATATATATATATATATTTATAAAGATATAAAATATATTATATATATATATATATATATATATATATTTATAAAGATATATAAATATAATATATATATATAATATAAAAAAAACAATATAAATATATTATATATATATATATATATATTTTATATATATATTATATATATATATATTTATATATATAAATATATATATATATATAAATATATATATATATATTATATATTTAAAAGATATATATATATATATATTTATAAAACTGCATATATAATATTATATATATATATATATATATATATATATATATATATATATATATATATTTATATATATATATTATATATATATATATATATATATATATATATATATATATTATATATATAAATATATTATATATATATATATATTTATAAAGATATATAAATATATTATATAATTATTTAATGAAAAACAGACCACTTTTTAAAGTACCCTTACAATAATTTATTTCACCAAAAATCCTTTTAAGGACTCCGGATCATCAGGTAACAATTCCAACAACGAAAATATATATATATATATATATATATATATATATATATATATATATATATATATATATATATATATATATATATATATAAAAAACTTTGGAGATAATGGAAACAAAAAGGAAACTTATACTTAACATCAGAAAAAGGCAGCTGAAATTTCTGGGACATGTAATGAGGAAGAAGGGCTTGGAAAATCTGATACTCACAGGATGTAAAGAAGGAAAGGAAGAAAGAAGGAAAGGA